AGGTGGAATAAATAATCGCCGTAAACGTCGACATCAAAATCACATTACGATGGCAAAAGATTTGAGAATAACCAGAACGTTTATCGCTTCATGATCAATCCGATCAAATTGTTCTTACTGATGTTAGGAACATTTCGAATTGTCAGCGACAACCTGAAAGTGAGAGCTGTCCATGAGCGCTTCATTCTCCTTTTTTCATAACTAGCAAAAAGTGATAGATCATTGTCAAATTCAAAAGCAAAAACAGTGGTCACATGCGAAGCATCAACAGATATTCACTTGAGAAACAACAGCCAGTATTCCAATATTAACGATTAATTTATCTATCCAATAGAAATCATTTGATTTTGCTAAGCTGAACCATTATTTGTTCGAACTTTGCACTGATTAGGATTTAATAAATCAATAAATGTCACATCTCATGTTCTCAGGAACCTGCACATCGCAGATGAATAATCATCATAACTGCTTGCATACGAATACATAAATAAACAGGCCAGCCAATCAATTAAGTACGGTAGGATACTACCTCAACTGACGATCAATGCGTTGGCCGATTTCGACATTTGAAACATTTTGATTGAAAACATCTTCGGTTACTTCGTCAGAGGATCTTTCATCAATCTCATGCAAATAGTACGTGTAGGCTTCATCAGACACTAGCAAAAGACTGCGACGTTCAAGTAGCATTGAACCCGCGTACCGTGATTCCTTTTTTGCACACTTCTGCAAATTTCATTTTCATATACTGGTTAATTCCTCAAGACAAGTGATGAAAAACGGTCATACATATTTATGAAAGAAGGTAGCCAGCCAGTCACTGATTCATAACACTGGTTGTTGATTTGGAAATTGCAAGCTCATGAAACAAAATTGATCACTACAGAATTTGATATAACTGAAGACATAACAGAATGAACAAAACAACTGCCTCAGGATCAATTGGATGATAATAGTCAATAAGAAGATCGCTACCGAGCGATACAGTCGAGATGAGGGGATAAAACGCAGGTCCATCAGTGTGTGCCTAAATGTGCCTACATGTAAAATGCAGCTCGTATAGCATGACGATAACTTTTTCGAACAACTGGTTAAAAATATTTATAAATGCACAATCAGATCGAACATACAAAGAATTTGAAATTTCCATTCTGACTGTGTTCAACCAAACTAACTGCTTCAATAAATAGAGACTCGTTGAGCATTAAAATTTTGGTGAACACTGATCAGTAGCCAAAGAGCATGAGACAATCATGAGAATTTGCAACAAAAATGAAAACTGCGACTGAACTGCATTGATATCCGATACTTGCTTTTTACTCACCATAATACCTTGGCCAGGTTGATATTCGTTGATAAGAACATGATTGGGACGATGTTCAGATGGAAATGCATCCGGAAGTGACATCAGTTTGTTGATTAAGAAATTTAACCACTGGAATATATCCTATCAGCTGCATAATTTACTATTAAGTTGGTAAAAGCTGACAGACATAGGAATACATTGGGAGGACAAATAGTGTTTTCTTCAATGAGACAGTCATGGTCGTTTCAGTGAGAACAAATCACAGTAGAAATAGTGTTTGTAGGGAATTTCGAGACTTGATGAAACATTTTACAACATTTTACTTGATTCTGGTAACATGCTCATCTTAAATAACCCATTAATCCCTCCCAATTATTCAGTAAAATGCATCAAAAAAANAAAAAAATTTAAGTAATGCTGCATTTCCAAAATATTAAATGCTGCGATAAAAATCACGATGTGAACCGCACAGTCATATCCGACACGCAATCGTAGAAACAAACGGAGGAAAAGGCGTTTGATTGTTCCGATTCAATCAAAACAAACCCAGCGACACGTGTCGAAAGTAGACGAGCATTCTCCACCTTTGTTGTAACGCTAATGCTTTGCTTTCAGATTTTGAATTACTATTGCTCACATGATTTGTTAAGTAAATAATTTTTCATGCAATTATTAGAGCATTGAAGTAAGGATGATATGTTGAACATGTGACACGTTCACACACATAACGTTACTCTATACCGGTTAATCGAGGATTTTATCATGATTCTGAATTGAAAAATGACTGCGATTTTGGAAACTAATCAGAAATGACCCATTACAATACACATATACTCCTATGTATGCCATAATGTGGATAAATGAATGGAAAAAGTATTGAGAAACATGTCGGTAAGAAAGATAAAGTCGAGGACTGAATGAAGTCCAGCAATTTCACAAACATTTGATAGCTTGGCCTATACAAGTCATTGGCTTAAAAAGGAAAATAAGAAAAGCAATAACCAAGCAGATCCCTCCAATTTAACTGAAAAGTATTTGAGGAATGTTAGTTAGTGGACAAAAAGATTAACCAGTTCTGAACTTAAGGGTGCATTCGCGTATGAGCAAACTACCTCAGGGATATTGTCATCAGGTATGAGTGATTTTCTACCGACGATACCACCCCAATTCTGAAGACGCCTATTCAGGAGCTGTTGCCACTTCGGTTTCGGCGCAGAATAGATCTCCGACAAAAACAACTGCTCCTCCTCTGGTGTTATGAAATTCTGGATATAACGGATCGTTGGAGGCGCCTGAAAGATTGTGAGCGCTTCGGTGATGACTATTCACAAGAACGGTATGGATTATTCCCAAATGATTAGGATGAAACAATTCGGCCTGCAACGTGCCTGCAAATAAGCAATACAAAATGATCCAATGATGATTGAATGATAAGAACGTGGATGAACGTAAGATTGACGACAAACCTTGGAGACGATGAACTGGTTTGCTGATGGACCATTCCAAAGGTACGTTGACTGGCTGGTTAACGAAACCTTTGACGTATCATCTTTTGATGAACGCTCTTTGCCGTTCTCCTCTGCTTCGTCCATCACTCTTGATGATGACCTTATTGCTTGCAACGTCAAAAATCTCGTGGGTGCTTAACAGGTATTCAAAATCCCCATTAATACTCTATTATTACGCACCCACATAAAATATTTCCATCCCACCGTTGAAATACAGTGTAGACGATAAAAACAATTGTTTAATGTTCAACAGTTGTATTTCTTCACATGAAGATATGAGATGGCGAATATTTCAAGTAAGTATGAAACTAAATTAAAAACTTTCGATGTTCGAAAAAAGAACAGATTTGGACTTTTAATCGCTTCCACAGAACAGTACAGCATATTGATTTTATAAATCAAAAACAAGAATACACAATCAGAACAGTGAAAATACTTCAACAACTTGTACGATACAAAACTCAAAAAAAACAAAGATAATAAATGCATATACATGTTGTCTTTCATAACAACCGAAAGTTTTACATCACTAATGAGATACAGCAAATACAAGATTCAAATAAGTAACAATGACAATACTCAGTCACAAAGAGAAATAAATACAGTAAAATAAAGCAGTTCGCGACGGCCAAAACAACTGATGAGAAAAATAAGGTCACTGATACGGAGAATATCAAACTGAACCCGAGGAAACGACATTTCAAGCCTCCTTCAAACAGTCCGTTCCCAACTAGGAACAAATGGAGCTCCCAGACCAGTTTAAAAACTTTCATACAAATGATCAGAGGACATAAGCACCGAAAAAATGCAACAAATATCAACAGGAGATCGCATTAAAATATTTTAAAATCATCAAAAATTGATCGCCGCAAAAATTTCAACACTTGGAAACACGCTCTTGAAAATTAATAATGGCAGAACTCATTCCCAATGTTAAACAAACTCAATAGAATTTCCTTGAGAACATTGCGAGAAAAAAAACGTGAACCTGCATTCAACGAGCGTAGGAAGATTCCAGATCGGCGAATGCGTTTTCAAATGTTTGTTTCAACCACTAATAAGAAGAACATAAAAAAGTGCAGCTTATCAGAGAAGGAAACCAAGGTTGCTCAAACAGCAGTAGACACAGATTTATTCATGATAAAGAATGAATCAGCGGAGGTCAACTGTTGCATCAATGGGAACATTAAAGAAACGATGAGACGTTAACCTAGGCCAGAAGAAAAACACCATCACGACGATGGATAAAGGCAGTACACATTCTGAAGTCACTAACTGAAACATGATTCTGACAAAGTTCAAAATCAACACAGAAACAAGTGAAGAAATATCTCAAACACCAACTTAGAAGAAAACCAATCCTTTCGAAAATTTTACTGTAAAAGACGAGAAGTTCAATGTTTACGGGTGAACTGTTTTCATACAGTAATTCCTTCTCTCCTATTCTAGTGGGCAGTGATGGTGAGAATTTAGAAAGGCACATTATCCCTTACATAGAGGAGAGGATAACAAAACCTGACCGTTCTTTTCGCGTCACTCCTTTGGCGAACTGGAATCGTACAACTTCAGCAGCAATAAAACTTTAGAGCGGATACATATCATAGAGCCTGGTAATTAGGTTCCCCACAGGCAACATCGGACAAGTTCAGTGGTCCAGTTTGAATACTGGATCTTTATTATACACGTGAGGAATGGAAAAATAATCTCTAACCACGCGACCACTGACCAAAAGAAGAAATATTCCAAGATCGCCAAATGGATTTCCGATTCGATTGCCAAATGAATAAAAACTGAACTGTCAGGAGATCTTGATCTGAGGAGAAAAACAATCCTCTGATTGCTCACAAGGGAAGGTCACGAACTGAACTCAGCGTTTCGGGATGAGATATACATCAAATTGTAGAACTCTTTGAGCTGATCACGAATATGTAAAAAATTTTTGCGAAATACTAAGGGGACGCGAGATATGGCGGGGAAAAGATTTTAGGTGTATTGAAGTGATGTTCTTCTGCTTCAGAAATACATTTTATTATGCGAAAAATGCCTACAACACTTTATCAGGCAAATGCAAACAACAAGAAAATCATGACGAAGTTGAATCTTATGTTCATACATGAGGGACCAACATTCCAAAAATCCTATTTTCAAAATGAAAGACAATGAGAACAAAAACGAATGAGAATATGAATTTTGCAAATCACGACTTTTGCTTTGATGGCATAAACCGGCACTCATTACACTCGTCACAGTGATGCGATCGTCACGCTAAGTAAAAACCTCGCCGATCAAGTGATAACCCAAATTAATGAAATAAGTTAAAAATATAACGCTGTGATGGAGAGTATTACATAATGATTCGACATGATTTCATATCGTGGGTAGCAGAACTTGTAGAACCGAACTGAAGATTGAATGGAAAAAATGCTATAACAGGCAATATCAGATACCAGCTTCGAAGCTGTACAACAATTGCCGGTCAACTAGGCAAGCAGCACGACAATGATCAGAATAACAACGATAATACGTGCATCCCTTTTTGAGAAATCAAGCACTCAATTCTTGATTCCGCATCAATTTTAATCCATGAAGAAATGGATCTAAATCTCGGTGAGTGGGAGAGGAAACTTCTCGTTAGTGGAAAAACCCGTTGATGTCGATGAAAATACAAGTTCAATTTGCAATCGCTATCTACAATCCAGCGAGCTGCAACACCTGCTCACAAACTTTCTTGTACATGAAGGCGTCACCACTTAATCGTTTCCGCTTAACACCAACCAACTGCTTCTTATCGCCCAGTTCAATCAACACAACTTCCAACTCAACTGTCATCAGCCGATTGAACTCATCACGCTTCTTCCCCGAAATTTTCCATCTTGAACGCAATTATAATTTAAGAAAGTCCTTTCTCAATGATTCGGTACCTTTTATTTTTCTAAGAAGATGCTATTTCAAAACTTTGAAGTTTAAAGAAAATTTTAAAATAAAATAAAATATGTAAACTCCTACAACAGCGTTCTTAAGGTAAAATACAGAAAATTCAACAGGTAGATCGTCACAAACCCATGCTGTTCCACTGAGATATTCTGTTCGATAAATACACGCACAAGTTCGGCACGAACCAATTCAGGATCTTTTGATGAAGTTATTGAAACATTCACCATTGTCTCAAACAAGATTCAATATAATACTTAGAAAAAGTAGCGAATTTATCAGGAATAAACATTTAACTATCTCACTGAATCGTCATTGGTAATATATAGACAAAATCAAAACGCATATTCAGATCAAAATTAGCGCAGAACAGTAATTGTTGTCACACCGTGACATAGAGGTCTATTCTTCGTTCTGTTAAAGTAACGCATACGTATAAACCATTTTTTATAAGCAACTGAAATAAGAACATGATGCTACAAAAGACAGCTAGAACTAACTTTGGTATGTTTGAGGATTTCGGGTGCAGTATTTCTGACTTTCTTCGGCGTCAAAAGGTTAATCATTTTATCAGCTTGTCTCTCTAATGATGCGAATACACGTTGACGAAGACGTGGTGTCTTGTTGGCTGATCGCGGAATCCGATTTATATTTGATTCGCGTGACGATGACGAAACTGACGAGGAAGGCGTTGATGGCGGCGTACGACGTTCCATTGAATGAGACCTAAATATGCTTTAACCGATAACATTTATCAAACTTTCCTCACAATCCCGGCAGAGGGGATGTAAAGATCAGATGAGTGCTCATTGCTGAAATTCAACAACAGATTTCGAAATATGTATCTGATCACCAGTTAGCCTACCTGAAACCGACCCAGAACTTTCAACGAACAGTGCATTCGCAACAGAATAAAAATGAATGAATAAGATTACAATGCGTTGATGTTCACAATATGGAACGACGAAATTTTGGTTAGAAGAGGGAGCAATAATAAGATAACCTCGTCGCTTGCTTGATATTTATAGGAACGAATTACTCAGAAATGGAAACCATAAGACACAAGTGACTCTAAATTTTAGCAAATACAAAGCCGCTTAAGAGAAGTATTCGATTCAGAACGGAAGCATTCCTTTCAGAGGAATGATAGTAATAATATCATAATATGGACTGTTAAAGGTTCCATAAAATAGACCACCTTGGTTTTGGGGAACCACAAAATCCTTGCACTGTCATCTTCAATGGAGTTGAGAACATACCACTTTTTGGTCTTCCTTCATCATACAACTGAAATTGAATTCATTCGCTTGTTGCTATATCTATGTATACAGTCACACTCAAATTATAGAGCTGCACACCTACATGGTGAAATGTTTTCTTCAAATTCAGATAACCTGCATTTGAATATTCTGTCAGGCTTAACCGGTACTGACGACATATAACCGGAAAAAATATTCCCTTGGAACTTCACCGTTCATAAATGGATAGGATGACTGGGCAGCTGCCCTGGATTTGTTCTTTAGTCAGAAAAGAAAACGTAACAAATGAAATGAAAAGAGAAAATCGCTCTGCGTAAAGTTTCAGTTAGAAACAGAAATTGTATTTCATTTAAAGAGACACCACGTCTTCGTTTGCAGCCGTAAAAGCTAACCAACAAATGATATCTCACATAAAATAAACGCTTGACTCAGATATCCGTTCTAGTAATCATCACAGAGATAACATCATTGGTAAAGAACGCAATGAAGCGCTGACACATGATGATCTTTATGAGAGTTTATATTATCCTCATTGTCAAGCATTCCTCACAATTTCAAGCATGTACTTTTATACTTGTATAGATACACATATGAAAAAAATGCTTAATATAGCATTGTCTCGCTGACCATCGGAAGTTTAAAAAAAACGGCAAGTGAATAAAATCGTGATGAATTCTTGCTGTACTCTGCGCATGTTGCTTGATGAATAGCCGATAAGCATGAAAAATTAAAAAACAAAACAAAAAACAACTGAATATTAACAATTCAGAGCATAGCACAGTAATACAATTGACACGAATATGAACAATCAATTCTCACAAACCTTAACAGGCCCTCTTATTCGAACAGTTGCTGACTTATAATTTTCTTTATCTGAATCGTTCACTCGATAGTATAAATGTGAATCAAAACCACCAGCTCCACCCTAAAAACATCCAAAAAAATCAATGTAGGCACCAAGAATTTTTTCTCGATCAACATTTCACTGGCGCAGGTCGTAATATAAATGAAAAGGATGTGAATACATGCAGAACTGCCGAGAATGGAAATCAAATGATGTAATAAATTGTACACATACAAGTATGAATATTTTTTGTCAGGTTCTCTTTTTCGGATCATCAGCTAACATATGATTTCAACAATTCACACGCTTCATTAATACGGCTTGAAAGATATGAGATTCGAACGAAAATTGAAACACCGATCAAAAAACAAAACAAAACCCGTGGTTTGGTTCGCTGGCTAACTGGAGTTCCGAAGACCGGCAGAAGGTAATTAGGATGATGATGTGGAGTGAAGTTCGTGTTAGTTGCCGGATGATTCGTACACCGCAAGTTACAAGCAGCACGCTGTTGTGGCGAACGTCCCGTACATATTGAAGGCATATTCAGCATTGCACACGCATATGATAAATTCTGAAGGAAGTTTCGTTTATTTCAATATCTTTACATCCGGCTACTTCGAAATGTTGAATATGGTCCATCTGATGAATTGCAATTTGCACAAAACGTTAAGGTGATTACGAAAAAAGAAGCAATGGATCACAACAAATGAAAATTAATTAGTTAAACTAAAACTTGAAGCTATGCCGAAACGACAACGACGATAATTTGATGGCTTCAAGATGACTGTAATAAACTAAATTCGAATTGAAAGACTGTCACTGCGACCTTGAAAATAGCGAAAAAAAAACTCATTTATCTCAAAGTAGATGAAATACAAAATTCGAATTAATGTACAACAATCAATAAATTTCCATGGTTTTAAACTGGAATCATGAAAGAAAGGAAAAACGAATGAACAAACAAACCTTATCATAATGTGCTAGTGGAGATAATGGTTTAACGAATGAAGAATCATCGATGTATTTGTTCTTGTTGGATAGCTCGTAATTTGTGTCATCATTTGCCGATGAATGATGATGATTAATGGCAATACCACTGTTGTTCACATATCTATCTCTATCCTCATTGTCTGCTTGCTCATCCAATCCTGATTTATTTAGATCGACTTCCAATGAAGCATGAATCGTTGGTGATGACAGAAGCACGCCGGCCACATCGCTCTTTAAGTTTACAGTACAGCTAACTGACTGTGCGTATAGTCAACAGTATTATTACCTTTACTATTATTAGTATTCAGTCATCACCATGATNGGAATTTCCAGTGGAAAAGGCCACTGATGGAAATGGGAAACTAGACGAACACAACTTTAACGGAATAAAAAAGGGATCTTTTGCTGTTAACGGGGAGCACACGCTGGCGTGCGCTTAGGCTTATGCTGAGGCTATCCCTTTTCTCTCTTTCGATGGACGTGCGTGCTCCCCCTTAGCAGCAAAAGCACATAAAAAAGAATGATAAGAGGACAAAGAATTACCGCACGATCAACTGGTTGCGGTGATGGTAGGGCAAATTTCATTCCTTTTCTTTTTTGCATGAGCAGCAAATAGTAGGTGGCTGTTAAGTAGTCGAAACGCCACTAAAACAACAATATTTTTAGCACTAATCCGTTCAAGTATATGAACAGGTACAGACAGGGTCTAAAATGAGTGTCCGATCCATTCTGTGTAGTCAATCTCGAAACAAGTTGTTTCTGAGAAACGTTTCAACCGTTCCAGAAATCTTTTCGTCACTGTTATCAGTAACTTTCAAAGTGGCGAAGTGAATAACATCAATTGAAATGAAAGAATGGAAACACTTGCGGACTACATCGGCAAAAAAAAACAGAACAGATATGACGAAGAAACTCTTCAATCAACCGTTCGCCAACCTCTTTGATCAGAGATTCCATCTCGAGAAACGATTTACCGAAATGAGTGGCCAGCTCACGTGATACTTCTTCATCGACGATTTTACGCTGAATGAGCAAAATGCAATTTTCTATGCGAAACCAGCCGAGATGTGAATGATACGAAAACAAACGCAACAGAATTACGTGTGCATGTTGAGAAAAAAAAAACAAATCAAAAAAGAAAAAGAGATGGCGAGTCAATCCAAAAATCGACAGTATTCCCGCATCGTTCATCAGTCATCAGAGTTTAACTAACTGAGTGAGGGAATTCCGTAAAACAAAGTTAATCAACGCCTTTCGAAAAAAAACTGAATTTTCTGATATCATAATCAGTATCGTTTCTCAGCACGCCTCTCATTAGAACAATGTTACGTCTGAAATGATTTGAGCGCAAAATTTTGCAATTTTTAGGTGAATCAGCATTTCGTATATCACCTCCTGTAACTGCTGAAGAAGTGCGATGAATGGAGAATGTTTTGGGTAGAACCACCAACAAAAACAAACAAATACTATACGGTGATTTCCGGCAATGAATCAAAGAATCATTTGGGTTATCTGGCAAATGAATTAAATAGAAATCATTGCTATCAATATATTAAAATAAGTATCGATTACTATAATAATGAAAGTTTTTCTATTAAAATATTTCTGGCTAAAAATTTGTCTAGAATATAACAATGCGATAAAATTGATGAAAAAATGTACGCTTACATCATAAATAGATTTCCATCTCAATGGCTGGGAATATTTCTTGTTTAACCATGGATGTAGGATCAGTTCGTCGATGCTGATACGATTTTTCGGATTCACTTGGAGTAATGCTTTCAACAAATCTTTACTTGACGAGCTCAAATAATCTGGCTCATAATATACACCACGCTGAAAAAAATTGAAATAAAATACCAACGAAGCATTTGTTTGCGTGCAGTAAGATGCTCCCAATTATGAAGTATTAATAGCTCTGCCAAAACGTTTCAAAGAATATTGCAGTAAGTAAAGACGATTACGGAAATTTTTCGATAGAGTGTTTGCATGTTGTCATCTTCGAATGGTAACGATCCACATAAGAGTGTGTATAGGAGAACACCCATCGACCACACGTCTGCTTCATTGCCGAGATATGCGGACCCCTTGAACGTTCAACAATTTCCAAATGGCTGATAGTGAAAAATGGAGACATTGCAACATAAAGGCATTCGGATATTCTAAATCAATTGTCAGCGAAGCATTAAAAATTCCATGTATGAATTACGGACAAACCGATCCGAATTCGAGCAACAAACCAAAATGATTTTTGATCGAATCGGTTCTCATCTACTAACTTAACGAACCTGTATCAGTTCAGGGGCTGCATAAGCTGGTGAACCGCAACAGGTATCCAACGGCCTGTTCAGGCCCATATCAGGACGCGCGCAAAGTCCAAAGTCAATTAATTTCAGTTGCAAATCTTCAGTAAGCAACAAGTTTTCCTGAAGGGAACAGAAAAATAATATGGCAATTTCTGGAAACTTAAAGCAGATAAATGTTTCGACATTACAAACGAAAATTCTTGTCATTACACAAAGAATCACTAGAAAATATTTATTTTATAGTAGGACCCAACCAAGGCTTAGATTTTTATCGTTCATTGAAATTATCATAACAATCCATATATTTAATATAAGCTATTGTTTCAGCTAAGCTGAAGATGAATTCAACATTTGCGCACGATCAACTACAACTGTTGTGCTCCTTTTAAAATTGCTTTCAGAATAATTGAAAGCAACGAAAGACGCTGGACTGCGCAAGCTAAGGTTGTTAGATGAAATCGATCACTTCAGTTTTGAATTAATCAGTTCGCTAAGAAATGTTAGCAAGATTTAGGATGTGAAACATCGAAGTAACGGCACAATTCAGATTACCATCTTCAAATGAAACAATATGATTGGAATATACTAATGAAGTCACCAACATATTCCTCATTAAATATGCCTCCATCTGTTTGTTGGAATGAATTTTTCTGTAGGTGTGAAATGGACTGTGTAAGAATTATTTCATCAAAATACTTTTCACTTCAGGGAATCGACATACCTATTTAATTGCAAGTTTTTGGGTCAAGATTTGGCAGAACATTTGAATCATTCATGAGTGGCCCATCATCAGGGTATTTTTCTCGAAACGGATTTTGTGCGAAACTATCGATCAACAATATGTGTAATTATGAGGAATTTCTCAGTGTTCGTAAATGAATGGAACAAACTGGTTTGAGATCACGATGTGCAAATCCCATGTGATGAACATATGCTATGGCTTGCACAAGTTGTCGGAAGAAATGTCTCGCTTCCGATTCTTGCAACCGTTCCTTCTTCACTATATAATCGAACATCTCTCCGCCACTGCAGAACTGCAATAGCACATTTGCAATAAAAAGTTGAGCACCCTCAAATCCCTCTAAAATATCCTACTTGATAGAATCAATAATTCAAGAGCATATAGTCATAAATTATGGACAGTATCGAAAAAGATAAATTTCTCGGCGCCGAACAGTAAAATAAAAGAACACATGAATCATATACGGATTGATTTCCCCTTCATTATGACAGAATATCACCTCCATTATGATGAAGAATTTTTCAGAGGTTTCGATGGATTGATATAATCGACATATATTCTGATGTGATAATGTCTTCAGAGCTTCAAGTTCGGTTTTCACACGTGGCAAATCATCCTGTAAATCGTGAATGTTGACTTGAGCAAAAAAANAAAAAAATGCACGCAGACATTAGAAGGATAATACCTCAAAAGATATAATTAGATTCAGGATAGGGATGATGGAACATACACCAATTGCTTTCTTGTCGATGATTTTGATGGCAACTTTTTGTGATGTAAGCAAATGCGTTGCTAATTTTACTTTACCAAAACCACCTGATCCAAGTTCATCATGTATGGCGTACAATCCGTCCAACACTGCGTAATTTGGATTGCTACCGTTGCTATTGATACGATAGCCATCAGCTGGATCACCACTACAGGTGGACGATGTACGTGATGACATTTCGCAAGTTGTCCGACTCTTGAAATACATTATGGTCGCAATTCATTACACCCAATTAATAATTACAACACACCGGACCAACAGGTGTCCACTGCCCGCAAACAATACTGTGGTCTACTCAAAACGAAACAATCAAGTCTCACTAGAATTTTGCGATTATTTTCACTTCAAACTTCAAAACACATAAATCAGCGATGCGCAATTAGTTTGCCGAATGACGGATCATGTGGATAAATTGAACTCTATTCATTCATTTACATAATGACTCGTGTTCAAAACATTAATCGAAACCCAGTCCTTATTGATACTGATCACATGAATCATATACTGCTCCTTACATTCAGAAACTGATTCAGCAATGCTTAATCTCAACACTATTTCGGTGATACTGTTCTTCTGTTTATTACGACAGCAAAAACACTTTCCAGTTCAGCAATAATTTGTGTTCATAAGTAATGAAACAACAAAGTTACTTGATCCTTTAACCTTCGATCCTTGGAGTTTTTTTGGAACAAAAAATGTGTTACTTACACCGTGCCAGTTCAATAAAGTCTCTACGCCATTTAGAACACGTTATTTCTTTCTACAGAATATTACTGTGATGAAGTGGATGATGAGTGATTGTTTGGATCACCTGTATATCTTTTTCGAAGCTGCTTATCGTTATCGGCAATCACTCAATGATTCTCGATGTAGCCGAATTGTTGATGATTAGATTTGCATCCTTCTTTTGAATTTGCGGTTTTGCCGAAATTTTGATGGAATCTTAGTTTATTGTCCACGTAGAGTCCTAAATTTCCAGCATCATCACAAACTTTTATGCGGTTACCGTTTATGAAATATTTACACACATACACTTTTTCATGATTTCAAAAAAAAANAAAAAAAAACTGAGTCCACGAGATGGAAAATATAATGCCGAAGAGTGTCGAAAGCCAGATTGCTCTAATAACATGAAGAGGAAAAATAATCAGTGCCTATACATCTAAGGTAAACAAGTGCCGAAAGTCAATCAACTTTGTCCACAGCTAAAAACTTTCAGTTTCGACATCATTTCCGCCAGGAAGAGATGGTAAAAAAAACACGATTGAAACAGAACGAAACTCATAGGTAACATTATGGTCATTTCAATGCCCCTTTACGCATTAATCAAATGAAATATTCATCTTGAAAGCATAATTTCGTTTTTTTTTTCGGTGAATTTATACTTTCAAAAAAGTGCTACATGAAAATGCATAAATATTAACGTCAATCAAATGAGAACATCGCCCAAAACAAAATTACAAATCGAAATGAAACTCCACCGCTTTGTGTAGTTCAGAAAAATGAACAGCGAGATTCAAATGCGAAAATTGTGCGCCTCTATGCCATCTCATAATCGCGTTGAGAACCTAGCGATTTGAATCACTACTATACAATAAATTCACCGTGCCACTAATCGCATTGCGCAGAAATTTGATGATCATTTTACACACGTTGCTAAATGAGCAAATGAAACAGAATGGTCACTTGCAATGAACTATGTCTTGCACAGCAACAAAAAAAAGCATAACTTTTATGGGCCCAGCTGCATTGGACAGAAACGATTTCCTTTCAAATTAAATGAACTGCTTTTTTAATGACAGTTATATGCTGATGAATCGGAATTGGTTTGTAGAATGGTTAAAATGAATTCGATTGTATCATTGCGAAGATGACACAACCATTTGAATGGTGAACCAATCTACTGCACTGAATCAACCTCAGAAATACATTCGAATTTCACAGCTAACCGTTCCGTACTATTCACTAATCTCATGTCTGTCGCAAAGAAGGTTGAGCGAGGACAGGATTTTTTTGTTGCAAGTGATGAGCAATAAACAACTGAGAAATTGTGGGACGAACAACAAAATTTTCAGATGAAATAAATCAACGAATGTTTTATTACGTCAGTTCGTTCGAATCTTTCTAAATCGACGAGATCAAAAAGAATAGAAAGTGAAAGAACCACGTAACTTTCTTCAACTACGCTTTATCATAAGCTTTTCAGATTTATTTATTTTTTTGGTCTTATAGTACAACTGATTTTATTTACACAGTTTTCAATTCCATTTACAAGCGATCAATTACAGACCTATCACAATACACACAAGAAAACGACAAATAAAATAACAATCAGTGAGATCATAATGGTGCTCAGCAAGAGCCACGTAACCAGTAGTGCTCCTTTCGGATGATCAACATTCATACGGAAAACAAATTTCTTGAATGGAGACAATCTCTGCTCACTTTCAACCGATTACTTCCACGATGACAGAGGCATACTTCAGGTTGCCCGCGAAAACTGCCATGAAAATGGTAATATACCGTTTTCGGTGGCTACACGATTGCGTCTTTCTCAAAACACTTGAATTGTGAACGAAGTCGAGTGACACTAATGCATGTAATAATAACAATTGTAAACAATGATAACATCTATCGAACAGCACTTTCCACACTGACAACACAATGTGCTACGCATTTATAAACCAAAATCCACGAGCACAGTCGAAATGATCTAAAACGAAAAGGTTGAAAAACGTCTCAGCTAAACGCTGAGCCCCTTCAAACCTCAAATGACTGTTAATCCCAACAAACTGAGATAACGACGGTGTTGAACAAAGTGATGAACACAATCGTGAAATACACTGAAGAACAACGATGGAGAATTGAAAATCGCAATGAAGAATCATGAACGTTAAAACTTTTAAAAATAACAACGCAATGATGAGAATGTCAATTTCTGAGGTAATTGTGCTGGTAAAATCTGGAAATTAATTTTTTTTTCAACATGGCACTTCGACGGTTCATGAACGGTGGGATGCACAGAAACGCACGCTTACAATTAGTATATTGCACTATCTCACTTGAATTTATTTCAGTTGGTTTCATTTCCTTCATTTATTTCTTTTATTTTTGTTACTCTGTTTACATTTACTCTGTAGCGTGTGCGTGTCCTTCAACATTACGAATGATTTCTTGCAAAGAACCGTCACAGTGCAGAAGAAGGCCAAACGACATGAATCCCACTACCTAAAAGGGTGAAATCTTTTGACTCACAAGAATACTTTCATNAAGTTTAAGTTTTTAAGTGACATGTCTAATGAACAAATCACACTTGCGTTTAATGCACAAATCGCTTGCTCTCACTTTCTGAGCTTCATCTACTCCTTTCTTCACTACCCAAACTCCTCCACATCTGTCTACCACTTCATTACTCGTGGCGGTTGAACAAAGTTTACGTTTCTAAATAGGCAGGACTGTTAAGTCGGTACCTTAACTTCAACCTAGTACCTCGCGCAATTAACAGCTTTTCGCAGACGATCAGTGGGTGGTACGGAGAATCGGATTCTGGTCTCGAATTCTGCGTATATAACTGCTTGTTGATAAGACTGATGTTTTTGAGCTTGCTTGAAGGGAAAAGCACTTTTTGAGGCGGCAAAATTCATGCTTTTAGGCCATATTGCAAACTTACAGTTATTTGCAAGAAAACGTTCAAACATCGATGAAGAGAACTTCGTTCCGAGTTTGTTTGTAAGAAACTGCCTCGGAAAATGGCATTCTCATCTTTGCTTACTGTTTTCATTACATATTGCAATCAATCATAGTGTTCACCGAGCTCACCTCATCTCTTTACTTCATCACGGCGCTAAATCGTACCTGATGGATACCTAATATTATTCTGATTACCAGTCAAACATGCCGAGTTCGACTCGAACTGGGGCCATGATCATCCCACGGGAATTCAACTGGTTTAAGTAATTAAGACACAATTTATGAAGAGCGCACACGATTAAATATGAAGCAAAAGACACATACCAATAAGGATACTGAGATAATAGCAAAATGAGGTTCGTTCGACAAATGTGTTACTTTTAGTGGATAGCGATCAAAACTTGCAATTCAAAATCAGAATGACCACAAAAAACGAATGAAAAATCTCTATCACATGAACTGATATCATTCTGCATACACTGCTCAGCGAAATACTTTTAGTCGTACAGAAAAAAAACCTTGAATTTCAGCTGATAAGCACATAGTAAATAATAGAACATCTGCAATTTGACGTAATGCTACCCAATAACTTTTTATCAGTCCCCCATTTGGCATGTGTGCCTCCACATTGATCGTACTGAATAATAAGTTGCTGATTACCATAAACACTGACAACCATAAGCATTCACTGATCATTCATCAACGTTGAGGCGCTTAATAGGACCGTCATCGACCATAACATACTACATAATTACTATGCGCCCACTACCACTAATCTCATAAATGAATATTGAATATTTCGCAAACGCAATATTCGGGGAACAATAGAACTTTGATCAGTGTCTTTTCATCAAATTAAATGAATCAACTACGTGACAATGACGTTGCATGATCTGCTCACAAAAAATTATTCATATTTGTAACAAAAGTCCTCAGGAGAACACTTAATTCGTGATATTCAATTTAGTTTGTAATATGATAGTGTTATTTCATAAATCTTCACCACAATAAATTATTTTCGAAACATCAACGGTATCACGCTCAGAGTTTTACAAAAATAGACCACTGCTAAACACGAACAAAAAATGAGCCAAGAAGGATACATCAAAACAAGAAAAACACAATCATATTGTTGTAAATATGTGTACATATGTGAAAGACTGACTGACTGACCCAATGATGATGAGATAATTTGCTGCTGAATAATTAGTTCATGCTTACCGAACATGGATTTTCATACGCCTATGCGAATGTCATCTAGTATTCATACTGGCTCGATATGAAAATATTTGATATCATGTTTGCAGAGGCATTACTGTCGCCCTGGTATAAAGAGTGATCTAATCAAATTACTCAATGAGAAACACAGCAGCAAATCATGTTCGAACCAATCCTGAATCAAAATATACCTCAACTTTAGAAATGCGCATCCACCAATCTCATCTGAAATGACTTTCCAAATCCGCGGCCATATTATCCATTTCAGAATCGGATGAATTTGTAGAGGACAATACTTCTTCCTCACTATCTCCATTGATAGGGGATTCTTCTTTCCTTTTTCGTTTCTCTTCGGAGTTCTTGCCAGGTTCGTTGCCACGTTTCCTCATAGCACTACCCATTGGCGTATTTCTAATATCGTTATTTTCTAACCTTTCATAAGTACCCTTCCTTCCATTTTGCTCAAATTTCTTATCTTCTCCATTTTCCACAACCATATCTTTATCATCCTCGTCATCTTCAGAAAGCACTTCATCTACCTTAAACGACAAACAGCTACACCTCCAATTTCACGATAAGTGCATAATAATGAAAAACGATTTTTTTAAAAAATCATCTGACCTCATCGGTCATACTCCTGACTGTCTTCTTGGCTATCGTGGGCATATTGGACAGTTGACGATCGATCAAAAGACCGCCAAGGGGCTTCTCTTTGCTGTTCATCGTTTCTTTGGTCAACTCAAAATCTTTCTCGTCAGCCTACAAACAAAATCTACACAATCACTTTCGTCAACGATTTACAGTCATATAGCAATTGCACAAAACGTACTCTCCAAACGAGAGAAAAGTGCACCGAACGAAGCGCTATTATCGCGTTACCTTTTCCCATCGCTCAACACATGCATATAACCATCTCGGATTCACAATTGCAATATTCGGGCGCTTTCGTGCGTCGTGAACTTTTCTGAAATTACGAAAAAAATACGAATTACACCATTTTGTTCTGGAATTCTTAAAACGGCAAAAACAAGCTGCTGACACAGGGCATGCAACAATTCCAAACTCTGAAAGAACTGTTCCATTCATTCCATATGGCTAATTACGACGATGAAAAAGTCAAAAAAAAGCCTAGTGTTAGCGTGTTTGAAAAATAAGTTAAGCAACAGTGTCATCATGGAAGCGACGCAATGAATATTGGAAGTATTCAAGGGCGATGAAGAAACAATAGTAAAGTGAAACGAAAAATTTTAAAATTAAAAACAAAATGCTATTTTGCTATCAGCACAATGGTATCAGTCAATAATAGGCGTATTTTGAGTCAAATCATCATCTAAATACGCATTTGAGCGAGAGGTTTATGAACCAAAAACAAAACAATAATGCTAGAAACTTACGAAGTTCCCCATCGTGCCGCAATCACATGCGTCGTTGAGTCGTTAACTGATTCAGTAACTGCAGCACCGAACTGAATGCACAAATGGAAAGCTTCTGTGTTGCGCACGTCCATTCCTATTGGTACGATACCACTCAATACTATCGAACAACCACGCAAAACTTGACGTCTTATATGCGCGATTACACACTTCACATCCTCAAAAACCTCACCGTTATCATCACTTTTAGGAAGACACTTTCTCGAACCATCAATAGCGATAATATGAACACTTATTTTCATTGTGACTGCCATTCTTATTACTACTATGGAATAATAAAACCTTTCAATACAGACTTAGATGAACGTCTACTATGCATGTGTCTCAATGCTCCTCCATCATCGCTGACAACAAATAGATATTCAAATATACTAATACTATTATCATTACTGTTACGAACGCTATTTTTGAACCGGACCTAAAGAGATGAAAAATTTTCACAACTTGACTCGATGATCAAATAAATCCTTTCTCGCATTCTACCTCCATCCATTTGACTATATGTGGACAGTAGCTCTCTAGATACACACAGCAAGTGATCAGTAAGGATGTTATTAAATGAGTGAGCTGGTGGAATGAATATGAGATGAAACGTTGAAACAATGGAGATGAACATCGACTCAGCCACCTGTACTCGATTTTTCGTCAATTTGTCGTATTCATCGTAGAAGGTTGTATGAATTTTTGTGAGAACAGTAGCGATGTATTCGAGTGTCTCATCACGATCTTCTTCGGCGTTTAATAGCGATAATGTTTGTTCCTCTCTCGACGACACTTCCCCTTGACTTTGTTGCGAATACAACTGATCACCACACAGTCGCTGTTGAGCACTTGTCGGTGCGTTAATATCGCCAATCTCTTTGAAAAAACGATACGGTTTCACCTAGATATTAATGCAACTGATTACCGCGATCAGGCTGACAAAACTCAACTTTGAAAACGTCGCAAACAAACGTATTTTCTAAGAATGAAATGGACATAAACTGAACCTTTAATTGAAAACCAAATGAAATAAATTGAATATTCATCGGTAATCACACAGAGACGAATAAATGCTGGATGCGAAACAATCAACAATCAACACTGATAAGAACCTGTATTAATGCTTCGGAATATTGCCATACATCCGGTCGGTCATCAATTATGACGATTAACTGATCACCACAAGGAAATAATGCTTGCATATTTCCCGTTTTATACATTGCACTGTAGAGTTCGTCCCTTGACATGATCCCTTCAAAAATGGACGCAATGATCGTATGCTCGTGCTTCTACTCACTTTCAATCAACTCCGTTATTGATCAGACAAGAGACGTGTGGTTTTTAAAGAACCTTTCAGGAAAAATAAATACTAATGAGGTGATCAGCATACAATAATAACACTGAAACCAACTTTGTCCAAAATATCGTTTGAGCGGATCGAGAATCTCAGCGATTTTATGCGCATATTGCCGTTCGCCGTAGCTGACAATATGCATTTCGTAAAGATCATTCATTCGGCGTAAGAAGGTACCAGCATATGGACGTATTTTCGTGTAGAAGTCAGTTCCTTTTAATTTATAGTTAACCACATCCTAAATGTATCAGCTACATGACACTATTTCAGATGTTGGCTGGCCACCATATCTTATGATACGAAAGCAGAGCAAAACTTCAGCGTTTGCCCGAAGTGAGTGATTTTTTGCGTTTTTCACAATCTCCAACAAACAAATGAATGAAAACCAACGAACTGATCAGAGCAATTTATCGAATAAAACTTACAACTGAATTTTTCATGTCGAAATAATGATTCGTTGTATGGATGAGCGTCTGATCAAGATCCACCAACAAAACTAAACGTCTCGATTCTAGTACCAATTGCTGATCACGATCGCCAATTTTCTTCGCTATCTATTTAATGACTGAGATATCGGCCGTTTAATTTATGTCAAAGTTTAGAAATGAATGCTATCAATACCGTGAGTAACAATTAATGAAATTTTCTCTACACTTTAAAGATGCGCATAATGGCAAACTGAAATGTAAGAATGTAACTTGTTTTTGGCTTTCAACAAAACGCGCATCAACTGAAAATCCCATTCATTGCAATCTCGACGCTTATCGAATGTCATTTCAGAACATCAGAATATCGAAAATACAACAGCCATCGATAAAATATATGTGGGGCTTTTATCCATTCAATAGGTAAGACATCTGATTCTTAATTACAATTCACTGAGGTATAAAGAAGCAGGCCAATACATGAAAACGGCAAAAATAAGTGTAACAAAAGTTGAAAAAAAAAAGCGAGAGCATGAACTGTTTCGAAGGAGTGTGCAGCAGAAAGAAAGCAAAAACACCTCATTGGATACGATAAGTTCTGGAACGTGATGTATCATCGAGACATTCGCGACACTTTGTTCGACGAGCTGCCCGGCCATTCCATTCTTTCTTGAAAACAGTATCACTGAGTAAAATTTGTTCA